AGCTGCTGTCTTCAAAGTGACTTTGGTGCGTCAAGACAGTGATGTAAATGGCAGTAAGATGGAGTCTATTGCCATCTATTGCAAATCGTTTGCTTTCTACATTAAACAGAAATTCACTCTCACATTAAGTTCAGCAAGAACATCAGACATTTGAAAAAAAAAGTTCAAAAATCGCTCCACAAATGATGTCGTTGCTGCTTGAGGCAATTTAACTGGGAAATAGGTGCATGGCAATCTTGCGTTTATGTAAGAATGTAACCAGAATATAACCAACTGGCAACCAGCTAAGTTGAGTGCCCTTTGGCAAAGAGACACAGACTGGCTTAATATTTTGTCTTTATTTTAAAATTAGACAGCAATCATTAGCAACTCTTTGCTAATCTGTCTGACTGCAGTCAGTCTGATCCAGGAGACAACTGTTTGGAGACAGGTTGTCTCCCACTGGGTGACATGAAGGTGTTGCATGCTCAAAACTGTGGGAAACCAGTGTCTAGACCTTAAGGGGCATTTTTGTTTTCCATCTACAATTAGCAGAAAAGGCATTAGTGCATGTTATTATTTTATTTTACATTGTACTTGCTACGTTACATAATTTTTATAATTTACAGTGATAAAAACAACATTTTTTCCTAGAAAATGGGGCTCAATCAATGCAAAATTGATGCCGTGGATTACATCATGTGATCCACTTTGCTTTAACTCCATAATTTCATTCTCATCTAGTTCTTGCTTATCTTCTACTTATATTTTTGTGCCACCCATCTGGAGAATCAGCAGTGCTGGAGCAGTTTTTGGATGCAAACCGGGTTCTGGTTGTATGAATATAACATGAAGCCTTCAACAGGAAGTGAATACTTTTTGTAAGCAGCGCATGCTGGTTTTGATGTGCTTTCTTCTGGGATTGAAGAGGATTCATATATGGATTTATTCTACCAGTGGAGCTTACTTTAACACTCGCCGGTGACAGGAGCTTTGTAGTCAGACTCTCTGCAGCTTTATAGGGAACGATTGACACACACATACTGGAATGTTCCGAATTTGAAAATATTATTAAGACTGATTGAAAATTCCCACATTAAAGTTTCAAATTTATCTTAAAAATATTTGTATGACATTTTACTGGTGGTTCAAGTACTAACATGTAGAGAACATAAGCGATGTACTTCATGGTGTCTATATAAGTTATCTGTGGTAGTCAGCACGGGTCATTTTTCTGTTCACTTTTGCTTGAAAACGGGGAAGGAGTAGCTGGTTTTTTTGGACATTACTCATCTAATGGTTGGCTAATGAATATATGGACTCTGTTTTCAGCAAAGTGGCCATTTTTTAAAACTACTTAATTAAGCCTCCATCTGTCTGTGGTGCTCATTCAGTGTAATGTTATTTTTGGCTTTGGATAGTGCCTGACATGGAACCCGGTTTATTTATTTTGTACTTTTACTAAGTTGGCTGTTAAAGTTTCATCCTTTTATGTTGCTTTTCTTCTGAAAGAGATTCAGACACACTTTTGAAGCATTTTTTCTTCAAAAAAGCCAGCAAAGATCACAAAAAGCTTATTTATGATTATTTATCCTTCGGAAGAATGTAGCCCTGAATGATTGTTAATTAAGTGTCTTATGCCTGTCTTATTCCTAAGTATGGCAACAGACTAACTGTGAAGGCAATGAAACTGATTAAGATGACTGATGACTGTCATTTTGCCGTTATGCTACTCTGGCTGTGTAAAACATCTCTGCATCATCATTATTCCGCTTTCCCATAAAGTTGTGTCGGTTCATGTGGACACGAGTGTTTTCAGTGGGAAAAACATTTCATAACTCATCCAAGTGGCTTCTTCAGTCTCCGCTAACTGAAGGTTTTCCCAAAAGGCTAGCGCTATTAAACTGAAGTTATCAGCAGTAATGGGGACACTTGAAAGTTGATGTATACCATAAACTAACACATAGGGATCAGTATTTAGGGTGTGATTCACATCCTCCACTGCAGCATAAATTTAGATGTCATCAGGATGCTGCAACTCCACTCTTGCATGTGCTGCTTTGGTTCTTGAATTAGTTGTGAAGAAGAGCAAAGATATAACACACAAAGAGCTCAAGTGAAAACAAGTGTTAAAGCTGGTATTCCCTAAGGCTCAGGGCCCCCGGCCAGAGTCATGTATATAGTGTATTCTTTTACCTGTGTGTTTCCTTTGCATTAGTTAACACGCTCACTTGGAAAGCTAAATGTTGCTGGTTCAATTCTAGTTGGAGATGCAAATTTTGAAAGGCTTCTGCAGTAAAACTCTGAGCTACTGACCCCTTGTGACAAAGGAATAGACGGAATTAACTGCTTCTCCCTCTGGTTAAATGGCACAGCACAAAAGAGCTGCCTCATCACGCCGGGACACTGTTCTCTATTTACAGCTACAGTCCAGTGGCCACTCTTCAACAATGAGTATATGCACATACTTAGCAGGAAGGATGATTCGAGCAGAGAGTGATGGGAAGCCATTTGGGTAAAATGGAAACAGCCATCTCTGAACTGAACAGGGACCCTAAGGGTACATCTTTCACCATCTTTACAGTGCGTGATTGCAGCCATTCCCCAGACTCTATGAATAGTACATGAATAGTACTCATGGCCATTGCTTAATGGTTGAGACAGTTTGCATATCAACAATCATCAATGATCTTGTGTCTCATTATTGTACAATGATGCTGGTTTTGATCGTTATGCAACTGTAGAGTTTTTAAAGCGGGGAAACCTGCAGTCAGCTGAGACTGAAGAACTCAAGAACATTTGGATGAGCGCTGAAACAGTTCTCCCACCAAAAACTTTGCATCTAAATGAGCTGAATTAAAAGAAATCGAGTGAAAATCTAACGTTCTGTACTGCATGTAGACAAACCAAGACTACTGGTTTCATGTGCTATGCTCTCAGCACTGCTGCCATTTCTTTGGTAGCACAATGGAGCTGAACACATTTACTGTGACAGTGAAAGCAGAGGTGTTTGGGTTAATTGCAGTCAGCCGTCTCCCCTCTGACAGATGAGTCTGTCTGAACGTGAAATGTATTCAGCTGTAAAACGCTCGTCTGTTATTAATTTTAACTTGTGCATTTTGGAAAGCATAATATGGATATAGAACTTCTGATCTCCTCAGTATACAAATTTTAGCACTGAAATAAAATCCTTGTCAATGACACCTGTCTCCTCCTAACCCTCACCTACTGCTTTCACTGACACTGCAGCACTGAAGACTGGAAATGTCTGAAATAAGTTAATTGGCTAGATAATGACATGGGTTGGACTATTCATCACTCACGGATGCATAAGGACTGGACTGTAACGGAGATAAAGGATTAACTTCGTTCTCTTGCACAAACTGCTGATAATGACTAGCTTAGTGTATTCTAACTTGTGCTACTTACAGGTTTACTGTTAATAACTTTTTCAAGAGTTGTGGTCATTTTGAAAAATTGTCTATCACGTAGACTATATTATGTGAACAGTGTAGACTAAGGCCTCAGTCACATTGGTCTAGAGACCAGTGGATGACTGCCTGGGAACCACCCGCCGCTAAGGAAAAATGTGCGTTCCCTGAACAGTTAGTGAGCGCGTGCAGGAGATTGCTTGTTGTTAATGGAAGATTTTCAACATGCAGCTACTTTTCCGCAATTACTTTACAGTTTTCTGAGATAAAAACAGAAAGAAACAAGGAAAGGAAAGGAAGCAGGAATAAAACACAAACACCAAATCCTTATGAAGATATTCATGAAGTGTCTCTGCCTGCTTTGTGTGAGTTTTGTTGTGGGGTTTTGTTATTTTTAAGTGCCCCTACTTTTACCCCGGAATGATAGTTTTCTAAAAATATTATTTTTAATAAGCGGTGTTCCCACATTTCCAACATAACTTAGTATTTATGGAGTTTATCAGCCCCTTTAGTGTTTCTCTCTGTTAAATTCAGTTCTTGTTTTACTCTGTTAGTTGTCTCCTGTGTTTTGTGCTGTTTGAGTTCCTCCTGCGGCTGATTGTCTTGACTAAACCTGTGTGTAGTTTGCCTTAGCTGTCTCCATTTCCCTAATCACCTTGCGTGTATAAATAGTCCTGTCTTTTCCTCAGTTGTTGTTGCAGTGTCTGTTATCCTGCCCACTGTGATTTTCCTCCACATTCTCCTGAGGTCTGTTAGATATTGTGCTTCATGGCATGGATTGTGTTTTGAGCTTTTATGGATTAGCCTAAATAAACAGCTCGTCTTTTGTTAATTTGGTCTGCCTCCTCCGTCCTGCACTTGGGTCTTAACTTCTCTATTCAACAAATCGTGACACAAGCCAGATTTGTTTTAAAAACATGCAAGCTACAAAGTTCATCACTGCTGTTATTTTGTTGAATAAGTTATTTCATGCTAAGCCCTTTACTTTGCACTTGAAGCATTTCTATTTCTATCCCTATTCCCTTCAGGGTCTATGTAATCTTAAGTTGAACTATTTATTCACTTGTCTCCAACCAAAGCTGAGATGTATGCTAATTTTGAGCTTCAACGGTGGTTTAATTGGAATTGCTTCCCTTTACAACAACAGTGTGACGTTTCCTATATCATTTTCAGACACAGCATTCACTGGACTTTAATCAGAGTAGAAAAACATGTCAGCTCTTTGTCAACAATGTGAAGCGATGCACTAGACAGAGTGCTAACAAGCATTTTAAGTGACAATGCCCTAAAAGATGGTCCTGCGATTTTATATATTCAGTTTTAATTAGGTAGGGCAAATATATTTAGAAAACATGCATCTCTAATACTTCACTGAAATCAGAAATACTAATGAAAATGTTATGGTGATGCTAAGAAAGTTCATCTACAGCTCACTGAACACTGAGTCTCTTTATATGCACTGCATTTCTGCACAATTCATTCTGTTGATTTGTCAACTTTGCAAAACATTCTAAACTCAAATGTATACAGACATTCACAGCTCTAGGCTAATCAATAACCAAAGCTAAAACCTTTTTCTGTCATCTTCAGGGTGTTGGTGCCTTGGCTCTGCCCTCTGACTCCAAGTGGCACAAAGAAAAAGCAGAGGATACCCCGTTCCAGTTCCTGGACTCTGATGATATGACCATCAGCATAGGTAGAGCTGGACATCTCTCAGGCAAGCCTCCCTTCATATACCCACATCAGCTGTTTTTTGGGCTGCAGTCTTTGTAGCTGCAACCTTTTTAGTCTCTTTGTTTCAAATGCATGATTTGGTTGCAGTTGCAAAAGAGGTTCAGGCATTAGAAAGCAAAATCGAGGAAAAACGACTGCATTTGGTTGGCTGTCTGAAACCTGACCTGGCGCTTCTATGATGGCTCTCTTTTTGCTGTCCTGTTTTTTCTGTTTCTCTTTTTCTACCTGCCTTATCTCACCACCTGTAATCCTCACTGGGTGCTCTTGTGGCTGAATGCTGTTTTCATCTTGACAGCTCTTGGGAAATTATCCTTGGCTGCAACACTAAACCTTCCTTTAAGCAATCATCTTTCCGAATGCTATTCCCTTATAACGTAATGTCCTACATACTAATTGTAAATTGTCACACTTGTCTGAATCGGTTTATAATGGGTAGGTTGTTCTGTAATTAACATAAATTATAATTTCCAACGTGCAAGACAGAGACAAGTCTAATTTTGTACTGTTTTGCAGAAAACATGAGTAAGAAACATTTTCTAACATATCAGAGTAATATTATAGCAACTGAGCAGTGACACCCCACATACAACTGCCTAACGAAGGTAGAAAATTAATGAGCAAATAAATGCAGCAAAAACATAACATAAAATAGCAAACATAAATGCTGGCTCACTTGGAGGGAAATAGACTGTCTGATATGGTTTAGTCAGACTTTTTTGCTGTTAGGTTACAACAAACACCTGGTCATCCAGAGGTGAACGTGCAACAGCCTCAACCTCTGGTGAATCGCTTTCAATTTAAAGATGATTGCACAGGTTGCCTGGTGGAGGCACCCTGGTTGTGGCTGGATCCTCAATGTAGGTGGTTAATGTGAACGTCTGTGTATTTAGATATTAGTCTGTGTATTTCGGTATTTAGCTAAATACACAATATATTTAGATATACTGGCTTTGTATAACATTTGTTACATGTACTTACCTATAAGTTCTTACTAGGATAATACAACACTAGTGCTTGTTTATACTGTGCCGACTGTGCTCAGAGCAGCTGGTTTGTTGCGTTTGTGGCGCGCTAAACATGCGTCTTGCCTTCAGGGAAACTCCATTGGTACTATTTTTGGTAATGGTAATAGTTTAGATAAGTTCGCTTTTCATTCACATGTTATGTTCTGTTTATTCCTGCACTGAAAAGCTGTTAACTGTCGCTCTGCGTTCTTATGAATTCCAAGCACAGCAGGGGCTCTGCTGAATCATACACATTGTTGATTTCGAACCAGACTACCAGAGCAAATGGTGAAAATGAAATAGAGTCATGCTGCTAATTATAAGCCTTATGTAGTTATTTTTCTTTGGTGTCACAATGAACCCAATTAAGAAATAAATCTTCACCAGCACCAATTGTCAAGACCGTAACTCATGAAAAGTAATGGTCAGGTAGAAGGAAGGAAGAAAACAAGGACTTTTTAAAAATCTTAATTATACCCAAAGTGTTGATGCTGCATTTCATTGACTTTTTAAGAGGTATTGAGTGCACAACCTCCTGTCATTTATCATAGATCACCTACAAAGGTTTTGGGGGTTTTTTAAATCATGAATTACTTGTACCCTTAAAAAAATATTGTTTGTTTTCAGCATACAGTCAAACCAGAATAGAGACAGCCTGAAAAGCAGGGTCTCTCTGCTTGAGTTATTTAGTCAGATTTTGATTGACAGCTTTTTTGCCAGCTCAAACAACCCAAATCAAATGGGAAAAAACAGCAGAGTTTGATTGAACTGGACCAAAACGTCTAGATATCCTGAGTATGAGTATAGGAAACAGAAAAATACCTTCCTTCCATGCAATATAAGGTGACCCAAAGGGCCTGACTCATTAATATGTAAAGTTTTTATTTATTTATAAGATTAAAAAAGAAATTCTGAAATAGGCAAAGTTACATTAACATAAGAATTCAACAACTTGTCAGATAAAGATAAAAATATGTATGCAGGTAATGCCAATTTTAAATTACCCAGGATAGGATGATTATTCAATTCAATTTCAATTCTTTATTTATTTGTCACATGTAGTTATAGCTGGTACAACATACAGTGAAATGTTTTTCCTGGCTAAAAAAGTACTCCCCCCGACTGTGCAGACATGCTAAAAAGGATTTTACATAAACTAAAAAAAAGGGAGGGGGGGGAAACAAAAGTTAAAAAGTAAAAAATAATATAAAAAACAATGTAAAAGTCCATATGTTTGTGCTTATAAGTATATATCCATGACGTGCAGGATATTGTACTGTAATAATTTAAATGAAAAAACTATAAAAATATACATTATTTACATAGTACAGATATATATAATAAGGTACGGATAAGGTTCAGAGAGAAAAGTAAAATGCAAATTATGTACTGTGTGTGAGATTGTCCATCATGTCGTCCGGTTTGTGTTTTGGTTGAGGAGTCTCACTGTTTGTGGGTAAAAACTCCTCCTGAACCTTTCTGTTCTTGTTTTCAGGCTACAGAGGTGCTTTCCTGACCTCAGTAGCCTGAACAGTTTGTGGGCAGGATGGCTGGAGTCCCTAATGATCCTGATGGCCCTGGATCTGCACCTTTCAGCATAGATGTCCTGCAGTGCTGGTAAAGATGTTCCCATAGTGCGTTCAGCTGTGCGCACAACCCTCTGCAGGGCTTTCTGTTGCTGTACTGTGCAGTTCCCGTACCACACCATGATGTTGTTGCACAGGATGCTCTCAATTATCTCGATTATTTAAAGCTGGGTTCTTCTTCTTCCAGCCCCTCTCTGACACTCATCTAATAAGGGCTGAATCTGAAAAAGAAAACACAAATCTGGGATTTTCTTAGGGTAGCACAAACTTAGCACCTCATTTTACAGTGGGGCAAAAAAGTATTTAGTCAGCCACCGATTGTGCAAGTTCCCCCACCTAAAATGATGACAGAGGTCAGTAATTTGCACCAGAGGTACACTTCAACTGTGAGAGACAGAATGTGAAAAAAAAATCCATGAATCCACATGGTAGGATTTGTAAAGAATTTATTCGTAAATCAGCGTGGAAAATAAGTATTTGGTCAATAACAAAAATACAACTCAATACTTTGTAACATAACCTTTGTTGGCAATAACAGAGGTCAAACGTTTACTATAGGTCTTTACCAGGTTTGCACACACAGTAGCTGGTATTTTGGCCCATTCCTCCATGCAGATCTTCTCGAGAGCAGTGATGTTTTGGGGCTGTCGCCGAGCAACACGGACTTTCAACTCCCACCACAGATTTTCTATGGGGTTGAGGTCTGGAGACTGGCTAGGCCACTCCAGGACTTTCAAATGCTTCTTACGGAGCCACTCCTTTGTTGCCCGGGCGGTGTGTTTTGGATCATTGTCATGTTGGAAGACCCAGCCTCGTTTCATCTTCAAAGTTCTCACTGATGGAAGGAGGTTTTGGCTCAAAATCTCACGATACATGGCCCCATTCATTCTGTCCTTAACACGGATCAGTCGTCCTGTCCCCTTGGCAGAAAAACAGCCCCATAGCATGATGTTTCCACCCCCATGCTTCACAGTAGGTATGGTGTTCTTGGGATGCAACTCAGTATTCTTCTTCCTCCAAACACGACGAGTTGAGTTTATACCAAAAAGTTCTACTTTGGTTTCATCTGACCACATGACATTCTCCCAATCCTCTGCTGTATCATCCATGTGCTCTCTGGCAAACTTCAGACGGGCCTGGACATGCACTGGCTTCAGCAGCGGAACACGTCTGGCACTGCGGGATTTGATTCCCTGCCGTTGTAGTGTGTTACTGATGGTGACCTTTGTTACTTTGGTCCCAGCTCTCTGCAGGTCATTCACCAGGTCCCCCTGTGTGGTTCTGGGATCTTTGCTCACCGTTCTCATGATCATTTTGACCCCACGGGATGAGATCTTGCGTGGAGCCCCAGATCGAGGGAGATTATCAGTGGTCTTGTATGTCTTCCATTTTCTGATGATTGCTCCCACAGTTGATTTTTTCACACCAAGCTGCTTGCCTATTGTAGATTCACTCTTCCCAGTCTGGTGCAGGTCTACAATACTTTTCCTGGTGTCCTTCGAAAGCTCTTTGGTCTTGGCCATGGCGGAGTTTGGAGTCTGACTGTTTGAGGCTGTGGACAGGTGTCTTTTATACAGATGATGAGTTCAAACAGGTGCCATTCATACAGGTAACGAGTGGGGGACAGAAAAGCTTCTTACAGAAGACGTTACAGGTCTGTGAGAGCCAGAGATTTTCCTTGTTTGAGGTGACCAAATACTTATTTTCCACCCTAATTTACGAATAAATTCTTTACAAATCCTACCATGTGGATTCATGGATTTTTTTTTCACATTCTGTCTCTCACAGTTGAAGTGTACCTCTGGTGCAAATTACTGACCTCTGTCATCATTTTAAGTGGGGGAACTTGCACAATCGGTGGCTGACTAAATCCTTTTTTGCCCCACTGTAATTGCATGCCAGCAAATCTAGCGGATTAATTAACAAGACAACAAAAATGGCAGTGCCCAAAGGCGTTGATTAAACACAAAACATTATTTCAAACTCTGAGACAGTTTTTATGGAATATTAAGTTGTGGCAGTAACCTGCATGTGCTTGCTTTAGTGCTATAGTCTTGTAAAATACAAAGCAACATACGCTTTTTTTTAGAGCACACTGCACCAGAACTATAGGTACTAAAATAAAACAAGTGCCACCTCAGTGGGTCACCATTAGCATTGGCTGGTCTTTGAAAATTGAACAGTGTAGCCTGTATTCTTATTAATTACCACACTGTTTTCCCTGCTGACATAAAACTTTGGGAAGTTTGTTCTTGCTACCAGGAACAGTTTGACTTCAACCTGGATGTTGCTGAGCGATTGCAAAGTGCTTGGAAGATGGAGTTATATTTTGAATTCCTTCGTGTTTGCGTATGCTCCTGTGAGTCACTTTCTGACTCACTCACTCCTCTTTA